TAAAAATCTTTCTCTACGATTGGTTGATTTGAAAATGCCGTGAAATATTTTTTGTTATCACTAATCAGTATTATTATTATTGAAATTATTATTGATTAAATAAATATAATCCCAAAACCTTCAAAGTTTAGTTTCCAATATATTATGTTAAATATTACAATAACTACCAAGGCTGTGCCTAGGGGGGTGCGAGAGATGCGTGTGCACCGGGCGCCAAAAGCATTGTTATAATCTAAGTAATATTACTGAAAATTCTCCATATTATTAATTCATATTTTTTTCACGTCGAACACCACTATCTCGACATAATTAACATTACCTTGATGGCTTGATCACCTACCGGTCGACAAATATAGTGTTTTTATTTTTGTATATTTTTAGTGTTGGTATTTATTTTTTCTCCGAAATAACGACGTCGCTTATGTTTATAGAGTTAATACTTAATATTACCTTGCAAAAATCAAATATTTCTAGTCTTCATGCATAAAAAATTGTGATGGGCTTCAAAAATCCTTTGGGAAAAATGCGAAATAAAGGATCAGAAAAGTTGAAACTTAAATTGGAGTACAACCAAATACCAATAACTATATAGATACTTAATTTCAAAAATATTTTGGCATTTTGAAACATTGTAGAACATTCCTAACGATTTTGAATTTCTTCCTGGGTTCCATCATAATTCGTGGTCAATTGAAGATCTTAAAAAACATGCTGCTGATCTAGTTTTAAAATATAGTTCAGACCTGAATAGTGAATTACTGAATGAAATTGAATTTTACCAGTCACGGCAACGCGAACACTACCCCGCTATTGTATTTGTGTGCATAAAATAAACCTGTTAACTATAATGTACCCGACATGTTTGTTTTATAAGGTCTACAAATTACAGTTACAACATTATTATGAGTTATTAAAGTTTCACTAAAACTATAGTCATTTTTTTAATCCTGAAAAACTAAATTCATAATAGGCGTAGTTAACCATATGTTCACAACTTAACCGTATGTAATCTAATTAAACATTTTATAATATGTATGACTTGTATAATTCTAAATTTATTAACTCTGTACTTCTAACCTCTTATGGGTGTACACTGTACATAAATGATAATGATATTATTAAATTACAATTTACGAATAAAATCGATATATTTCATAGTAGGTACCTACCTATAAAATATAATATATTTTAACAGTTGATTATTATGATTTATAATATTCGACACACAATTTCTTAAGATATACTTTATATTGCATTAAGGAAGTTCGTAATAGTTCGTATAGCCGTATAGGTAAGTATATTAATTTCCATTATAACTTGTTTTTGTTACAACTTACAAAGAGACGTGTCTAATCATCAATTTTACTCGTCACTATTCACCTAAATTACGAAGATAATATAATATTATCGAATTATAGCGCTTACGGCGTAACTAACTACTGATGAGCCATAGTCCATATTCCAAAACCAAATAGGTATATCACAATATATGACTGTTCTTACTTATTCAATGAAGGGTTAAATTATTATATTTTATACAGGGTAAACATTACAAGAATGATTTTAATAATTCTGAACCACGTTGTATATACGTATTAATATATTATGTTAAAACCAACACATACATTACTCCCACAGTCCACTCAGAATCAAAAAACAACAATACACACATTATATTGTTTGTAATTTATTTATTTAAAAAATTTTTTTTGGATAATCTTAAGTAAGTGTGTATCTATAATTTACCATTTATTTTACTGGATAGTGGACACGTGTTAGTTATAACCAAAATGTATCTTTACTGTGGGTGTCAACTAAACATCTATACATAACTATGTGCCCATTTGGACAATGAAAATCTTGTTAAAAAATGAATCTCACTGAGATTGTGATTAGATCTCAGTGGCGGATACGAGGGGGCGAAGGAGCGTTCGCCCCCCCTTGGGCTGCCTTTTTAACGTTATTTTCTATTATAATATTTGGCTTAACAAAAAGACAATTTAATTTTTGAAAATTCGCCCCCCCCCCCGTTGGTGACTTCTGGATCCGCTACTGTTAGATCTAGTAGGTCGACATGTAGTCGAATCAGCTTATTATTAGCTAAGATAAAAATCAACATAATAATTAATATAATAAATATATAAATATAGTAGGTAGATATAGTACCCAAATAATATTTTAATTAAACATTAGTCAATCAACATAAAATTAATATAAAGATGTGTATACCTGGTGCACCAGCCATGGCTGGTAAAAAGTGGTACTCAAATACCTACTGTAATGATAATGAAAATATTAGCAACTGTTTTTTTATTGTCATTTTATAATTATAAAATATTGTACATGTAATGCAGTATTCAATGAATGTGCGTATAAAATATTATATCATTGTAAAAGTTATGTATTAACCATTTTTGTAACCGTAGGAGCTTGAAATACGCAACCCTAACTTCCAACGTGTTTATTATTTTATTGTTATAAACGAGGACAAATGGTAAGGGTCAAGGACTCGACTACAGTAGTACAGTCAGAGATGCTGTTGATTCTCATTCAAAATGTTATTTACCTATTCTTAATATTGAATTTATATAAAACTTGTCCATAATGTTTTCATGCATAATCAGATAATTTATTAACATTATGGAAATACGATGGATCTAGGAAGAAGAATACTCACAAATAACTAATAAGTATAAACAATAAGGAAACGGGGTTATTAAACATAATAAAACAATCCAAGGCCAGTCCTCGCCCACATAAGTGTAGTCGGAATAATTAAATGGTATTTACTTTTAGTTTAATTGAATGATTCATTTGGGATTTTTCGTTATTTCTCATATCGCACCATCCACGTAAACGACATCAAGGACATCAAGGGCGTCGCATGTCGATTTTGTCTTCCTGGTTTATCAAAATATAAATTGAATTAATTATGTTCCGATGGGCTATGTGGGTACTTGTAAGCTCGGTCCGACAATGTCGAGTGATAAAAAGGTAAATTTATTTTAACTCGGCCCCGATTTGCAGGGTATAGCTATTATTTTTATACGTAAACACGGCCCCAATATTTCAGGCATAAGTTTAATATATTAAAGGTATAGCACTATATAGCTATAGTCTATAATGATTGTTTAAACTAGTTTTTAACCATTTGAAATTATTTTATTTTAATAGGTAATTTATTATTTTACAATGTGAGGGCACACTCTTTATTAGTCCATTGTCAAGTCATTAATCTCCATATTAATAATATCAAATTCAAAATAGAATCAATAATCATATTCGAGTCTGTATACGACGACATATTTTGTAGATATCTTAATAATATTATGCATATGCTATATGCGGATATGCCGTATAGTACATATATTTTTCATAAATAAGGCCGATGAGGGGGTTTCAACACCCAAAACACTCCCCTGTCTTATGATTGTGTACCAAAACTTGTACAAAACATGATGAACGTATTTATTATTTGTTTCATTTCGTTATCGTCATTAAATCACATTATGCCTTAAATTTATTTTATTTTATTTAATATTTTAATGTAATTTGTTAATTGTAATTATTACTTGTATCAGGGTATTAGTGTGTTATTACTGTTGTTAGTTATTACTTATTAGTTATTACTGTGTTCGGACCTAATATATTGGTATTATTTAATTATAAATTTGCTACCTAAAGTGTATAAACAAATAATAAAAAATAATAAAAAGTACTTATTGATATTACAAATAAATGCTAAGTAAATTGAATTAAAGTAGGTACACTTCTTTCAATAATTTATTTACTCGTCGAGAAATTATTTTGAGTAGAAATGTCCATTAAAATATTTTATTTAAATTATAATGAACTTCTGATATCTTTTGTTTATTTTATTCACGTTATATTTTATCGTGTACTGTGTCATATAAAGTGGTATATAATTTCTCTCCAAGTTAATAAATTATTGAAAGAAGTGTACTTTAATTCAATTTACTTAGCATTTATTTATGATATCACACTTTATAGGGCTTAAAAAGATCTGTTTTTTTTTACTTAGCTGTTTTTACACGGTGTTTGACGAAGTGTTTTTGTTGTGATACACAATGTCATGAATAGGTTTAACATTAAAAAAAAAGTTTAAGAAAAAATTTTAAAAACTTACAATTTCATCAAAAAAATAATTTATATATGAGGTCATCCACGGTAATGCACACTATAAATTATTATAATAATAACGTATCACTAAATTTAACTCGTTGAAGAAAACAAAAGATGACATTGGATACTAAATATAAAATATAAATGCAGTCAATATTTAGTCCAAATATATTTTCATTCAGAATCATGTTAATCAAAAATGATAATTTTTTTAAAAATGTCAACTATATAAAAAGGATAGTTGGTTGGTTTTATTTTTATAGCGTTGTCAAATAATTTTAAGCTTACCACTTGTTAGTAATTGAGTACATTCAAAATTATTATAAATATTAGGTAGATTTAGGTGGTAGGTCTATTGTCTTAAATGGGTGTAATATTCTCCATACTTTATAATATTTTTTACAAACTTCTATCTTAATTATTGTTATTATGAACAGGCTATGCTATTGACCTAGGAGGCTACGATTTTAAAATATAATAGATACCTGTTTAAATTTTTAATATTTATGTATATAGTATATTAAAATATTATAAAGGTATAATAAGAAAAATAATGAGAAAAATAGTATGGAATAACCCTGCATTAAACAATATGCACGTGGGAACCTATATATGTTTGAAAACTATACTATAACTTAACTATACTATAACTATAACTATACTATAGCTATACTATACTATAACTATACTATAACTTAAGAAACGAAATAATTATTGAAAATGGTATAATATATGTCGCAGATAAAATAGTGATTCCTACTAAGCTAAGGCCCCTCATACTTAAACTGCTACATGAAAGCCATTTGGGATTAAATAAAACAAAATTAAGAGCAAAACAAATTATTTATTGGCCGGGGATGTTTAATGAAATTGAACAATTTATAAATAATTGCAACACTTGCAATAAATTTCAAAATTCAAATAAAAAAAGCCCTCTAATTCCTCATGAAGTTCCAAATTACCCGTATGAAAAGGTAGGAGCAGATATTCTATCCTTTGAGGGTACAGACTATTTAGTTATTGTTGACTATTACTCAAAATGGTTTGATTTAATTAAATTAAAATACAAGACTGCTAGTGAAATAATTAAAAAAAGTAAACAAATATTTAGTACACATGGTATACCAAAAACCTTCATAGCTGACAATATGCCGTTTAACTCAAGTGAATTCATAACTTTTTCTAAAACTTGGAATTTCACAGTTGTTACATCTAGTCCCCATTACCCACAAAGCAATGGCCTAGCTGAAAGGACAGTACAAACTAGTAAAAAATTACTTAAAAAAGCCCTAGAAGAAGGATGTGATGTAGAGGCAATGCTTCTAGAATATAGATGCACCCCAATAATCAGTCTGCAAGCATCTCCAGCAGAACTATTATTCAGTAGGATTTTAAGAACTAAATTACCAATAGCTAACAAATTATTAGAACCCAGACTCCAACATAAAGTACAAACTAAACTAAAAGCATTCCAGCAAAAATACAAATCCAATTATGACAAAACAGCTACCAAAAAAGAAACACAATTTAAACCTAATACAAATATATTAATACAAAATAATAAAGTGTGGTTACCGGGGAAGGTCATAGCTAAGGCAAATGCACCCAGATCATACCTTGTTGAAAACAATAATGGTACAATTATCAGAAGAAATACTAAACACTTAAAAAATACTAAAATTAATATTACAGGAAACAGTAAGGAGGGAAACATAGAGGGGAAATCAAAAGTGAAAAATAAGTCTAACAAAAGTGTCTTGGTGAAAGAGCTATCAACCAGACCCATAAGAAAAAAAAAGTACCTAACAGATTTAAAAATTTTGTAATGTAATTTAGCATAAACCATTAAAACCAATGTAACCTATTATATACCTGTCAAACTGTACTATTATTATGATCATTATATTATGTGTTGTATTATTATTATTATTATCATCATATTCAAACTGTATTACTAATAATTTTGTATTATAACATTAAATACTATGTAATATTGTATTCAATTATATTTGTAAGAAAAAGAGAGATGTTGTAGTTGTCAACACTGATATTATTATTATTATTATTATGTACACACACGCGCGCACCGTCAACCGTTATGCATCTCAGCACTCTTTTTGTATCTTTGTATCTTTGTATTCATCTGAATGTATATAAAACATATTAATAAAAACCACATAAAACAGAACTAATGTATATAATTATAAATAATTGTATCGCTTTTTTTAATAGACGTATAAAATACATGCCTATTAATGGATAAATATGTATTACTATTACCCAACTATTTAGAGGTATTATAGGTTTATACCTATGAGGCTATGCTATATAAAATGTATCATTTATTTTAATACGATTGTGACGTCAATTCGAATATTGATATTTTCGATGTATTTTCAAATAATCACGACGACCGGTTAGCGAATCGTAAACAATATGCCGCCAATAGTAAGTGTTGTAACGACGTAACGTACCTGTACCATCATCATCATCATCATTATCCTTGAGCATCGAAACAACCTTAATTGTAATTTGGTGGGAACATTATAAAACGGCGTGGTCTGTGTTGCCATGTTACAGTTTTCATTTTCCATCGACGGTGGTACAACGTGCAAGTCTAGCTAGATCTAGGAGACTTCGACACGAAAATAAAATACCTATAGGAATTTAAACATGTCTCTAACACATAAAATGTTTGCATGCTTTGTGCTCATCGTTGTGCTAGCGGTGTTCGCACGAGCCATTCCTGTTCCGGTGCCCGAAGAAGCGCAACCAGGTAAAATATATTTTATATATACAATGTACCTAGGCGTTTCTAAATAGTATCATAAATCACTAGGTCTTATTCTAATAATGTGCGATCGAAAAAATGCCAGAAAAATAGTATCAATGATTTACGCTAATGTATAACCGCAATATTAATACTTTTCACAAAAAAATATTACAAATTTACAAATCAAAATAAATTAACTCAATTTATTTTTTTTTTATTTAGTTGATTGTTCAAGTGTAGATACTAGATGATATATAGATTTTATATTATAGGTACCTACATACATTTATAAAATAATATGTTGTTACATAATATAACAGCAAATAAAAATTAGTAATGCATTTCTAAAACAGTTATAGGTAAACTACATAAAACAAATTAGTTTTAACTTTTAATATACTTAATGTAAAAAAGTAAATTTATTGTAACTAATGGGCAACGGCCAATAAATTCGATTTTTTTTAAAAGAACGATAAAAAAAAAATAATTATACTGCAATATAAATATGAATAATGAATAGAATTTTTTTCAAAACCAATGCTTCAAAAATATGTATAGTTGTTGTCGATTTTTTAAATATCACTAAAATTTTGATAAGAAAAATAATTTACAATAAAAAATAAAACAAATAACTACCTTTATTAGATATTTAAATAACAAAATATAGTTTAATATATGATGCCAATATACTGTAATAGGTAATAGGTAATACCTCTTTAATATTTATTTATTTTTTAATGTACCTATCTGTATATTATATTATATTTAATCAATGATGATAATTTTAAAATTGTAATGCATTTCAGCCGAGTACAGACAGTTTGTGTCAGCCCAGGTTATGGAGTCCTTGGACGAACCGGCAGTGTTGTCCGTACATCGAGATGTGCAAGTCGACCCCGCGGTGGTCAGGCCCATTCGGTCGGCCAGTCCGTTCTTCGGCATCTTAACCGGTTACGAAAAGCCGTACAAGTCCCAGAAACACCATCACAACTATCACCAGGAAGAGCATGAGTACCAGCCAGAGTACCATCATAGGCCCGAGCACGAGCCAGAGTACCATCACAGGACCGAGCACCATCATAGGCCACAATACCATAAGCCACAACACCACCAGCAGCAGCGGCCACAACAACAGCACGGGGGTGGCGGTGCGGGAAGTTACGCTTCGGCGGGAAGTTTTTCGGGCGGCCAAGGTGGCGGTCACAGCCAGAGCGGGGCCCACAGCCAGTCCGCTAGTTTCGGATTCGGTCCGTTCCAGGCCAGTTATTCGGCTAGTGCGGCGCAATCGGGCAGCCATTCCGGCGGAGGGTAAGTGCTAGTGCGGCAAACATTTAAGTTGATTTAACTGGGTACCAAGCAACCTATATCATAAAAGATAAAAATAATATTTAAAAAAAATAAATTATTTTGAATCACTGAGTAGGTATATAAGTAATAATAATATTCTTCTAAATTAGAAATCTAATTTTGGTATAAAACTAGAAAATAGCAATTTTTGTAGACGCCCACACTTATTAATTTAAATTTTAAACTTTAAAGTAACTATATAAATGTTTACAGCGTTTATACTTAAGACCTTAAAATCATATGAATTTCAGATTTAGTCTAATAAACCTTTATTGCTATAGATACCTACTATATAGTCATAAGGATATTTAAATCAGTGACTGCCGACTGAAACCGAACCGAAAGTAACTGATTCAGTAACCTAAAAACCCTTAAAATATTGGAAACCAGAATCTTTAAATTTAAATATTTTAAAATAATTATAGAACCAATATAATTTTAAATAAAATGTATCGAGTTTTACAATAATAATAAATTTTGTTTTTACCTCCGTGATAATATTTTTGGGTACTTATAAGTTATGTTTTAATAAACTTTAATCATCGATAAAAAACGAAAAACCAGGGCTTATATTTTAATATAACTCACTATATTACTCACTTGTTAGACACATATAGCCTATAAGTGGAGATTGTGGTGCGGTTTGCTTATGAGGGATTTATTAAATCCTAATAATTCTATTTATTTAATAAAATATTTTATTTTTTTATGTTATTGATTGATTCACTTTAAATAGACAAATTTAAGCCCCTACCCCAAAAAAAAAATATTTTATCAAGTATCCACCTATGTTTTTAGTACAGACGGATAGTTCACAAACACTCAAGGGGCTTCATAGATAATAGATAATACTGTAGTGTGTACCTATATAATACTATTTACTAAGTATCTACCTACACCGTTTTTCGTATTTCACACAAAAAAAAATGGACCCGGATTAAACTAGTTAACATTTCTAGAATTTAATTATTAATTTGGATGCTCCTAAATTATTTTAACAGTGATAACATTTTATTATATTTCAGATATTCAGACTATTGATTACCACTTCCAATCAAGATAATTTGAACTCTTAGCATTTATTTAATAATAATTGTGATTTTTAATTTATTTGTATTTTATTTTTATTTTTATGGAACTATTATATATACTTACTATTTTAATGTATATAATATGCCAATAATGCCATTGGAAACTATATTTAAATTGAATTTTAATATTAGCATTTGTAATACCTAATAATTGTACCTATTATGTATTTTTGAATGATTTTTAATAAAATTTCTCTTTTTGCATTGAATGAATTCCTTCGATTTTTATTTAGCATATTTAAGCACAAAATAATGTTTATTTAAAAAAAAAAATATTAGTTTTTCATATAATATTTTTAGTTTATTACACAAAATTCATTCTAACATTGTACCTATTCACCTTCATTTGTAAGATAATATTGTAGGTAGGTAAAATATATAGTAATATGAATATTTAAGTTACTTCAAAAGTTCAAACAAATATGGGATTGATATATAATATTGAAATATCAAAAATTGTACTTAAAATTTGAAAAGTGAATAGTATCAACTATCAATTTTTACTAGGTACCTAGATACTTTCTGCGCTGCAGTAAGAAGTAAGTTGTAACATGCCAGTAGCTGTCCTTTCCATTAATAATATAGCATTCATGATTCAGTTATATTAATACTAACATTTTTTTTAACAGAATTGTTTATTTTTTGTAGGCAATCTATTACATTGTTACAATGTTACAGCAATGAAACAATAAGCTTAATTGTTATAATATTACAACAATAGTACACACTGGAAACACATAGTGAATAGACCTCCCAGTGGACGTACTTCGTCAATATAAAATATTGAAATTAAATGAACAATCCTAAACTTCAAAATTTAAATTATAATACTATTACACTAACTAATACTATAACATTGTTGGACATTATATCTACTTACCGAAATGTACTATACTTTTATAAGTGTAAGTTTATAAGTTATGACACGCTCCTAAAACGAGCGGATCCTGAAAGGCTACAACGAATTCTTTTTTATAAAAAAACAATGAACGAAACGAGTTCCCCTTTTTTAAGGAAAAATAACTAAATTTTAAGTCCCTATCGAGTTCAATTTGTATAGATATGCATTGGCGGAACTAGGGAGGTGCAAAAAGGTCTTTAGCACCCCTTAGTAATTTTTTTCTTATTTTTTCGAGCTATAGTAGCTGCTATACACTCTCTCGCTAGTTGCTCAAGCGAAACGTCAATTTTTTTGGCTTAAATACAAATAGTGTCAATAATTGATTTTGATTGTGTTCAGTTTTATTAATTAATCCAGTTTGATGAGGATTCCATATAGCCATGTAGGTAACCGAGCCATATTCCAAATTGTAATAATGTAATATAGGTACCAATTACTGCCCACCTCAATCTTCGAAACTATGTAGGCATAAAATATTTAAATATTATAGATACATCAAAATCACTGTGACTAAATAAAAACCCAAAGTGCAAAAATTAATATTAATGTAGTTTATAAATAAGTGAGCAAATGATCGTGCACAATCGTGCTTTCGGATATCTATAAATATCTATTTCAAAATGAATTAACTAAATAATTTTTAATTAAAAAAAAACTGGGTGTACCCTTGGTCGTGATCACGGTTATTTTAATTTTTACTCTTTTTAATTTTAAAACTTCAAAAATGTAAGAATTTGTTCTAACATATGGTCTGTTGAAACTAAAATTTAACAACAGCTGGAAAAAATCAAACCAAAAGTATAAAAACATTTAGGGGAGCGATGAAATGTACTTGCAAGCCCGAATTTTACCATTGGGATCTTCGCCCTAGAACACCATGAATATCGAATGCCATGCAGCCTCTTAGTGGGCCCCTTATTCAACTCACGAACTCCAATACCCTCTAAGTTCTAACTTCAAAAACATTTTGGATTTATGTATAACATGTGTTTAATGTAATTTTCATTTATAACCACTGGAAATAATAAAATAAGTGCCAAATAAATGTTTAATGGGGGACGGAGTGACCGAGCGAACTAAGACGTCGGTTGCGATGCACACCGTCGCCGGTTCGAAATCGGCCACGGGCGGCATTTTTCTTCTGGCAGTCACGTGTCTGGAGAGAGAGGCCGACATGCCGACATCCATTTAAGATTTAAACTTACTCAAATTTTATCAATTTTGTATTTAGAAAAAACTTTTTAAACAAAGATTGTCATAAAAAAAGGTGTTTCAAAATAATTGCTAAAAATTGACATTTTCTAAAATGTATATATTTGTACTCCAACTACTCCCTAACCTTTCGAAAACCACATTTCAATCCGATATCATCTAGCTGTAACTTATTCGTAGTACATTATATATTTGGCATTGGCACTATACATATAACACTATTATAGTATAAGACCACGTGGATCTCCCATACACCCCATGGATTGATTGAAAGCTTTATTATTTTTATCATAACGAGAATTCTGAAAGCGAGGCGAAAGCAGGTTGGATTAGGATCCCGGAGTCGTAAACAATCGTAAATTTGTGCGATTAGGTAAATATTATATAAATATTAGAGGACAGCGAGAGCCGAGAACACGGAGAAATGGGGATTAGATAATAGCTCGCGACTAAGTGAGTCGCGTTGAGTGGAAATATTGCCATTTGTCAATTTTCGGCAATAAATGTTGCAACGCAGAGCGCATACATAATTAATAAAATGTATATTATTCTCAGAAACAAAATTAGCCAAATTATAATACGTATTTTAATATTATGTATCATTGTACTTTATATCCATGTTCATGGTTGCATCTTATTCTTATAGTAGTTGCCAGTTGGTTCAGGGCCGGTTTTAAGGGGGGGCACCGGTGGGCAATTGCCCGGGGGCGGCACACTTTGGGGGCGGCAAAATTATCTCAGATAAAATAAACAAAAAATTAATTTTTTTCGTAAAGAGAAAGATTTCTAAAAAATGATATATTTTATTATTATTTATTTTTTAAATTCACATATGCATACATTTTTTTTTACCTATATTTTATCACTTTAAATAAAGATAAATAAACGTTATTAACTAAGTAGGTATGTACCTAACATTATTAAATATTAGTGGGTTTATTTTTACTAGTAAACTGTAAAACTAGACGTATAGTATAACTGCGTTGGCCCGTATTGGCAAATCAGGATTATCGATTGTACTTATTTACTGGCTACTAAAATACATTTGTGTCATTTCATATTATACAACTTGCTAAACTCTATATGTCAGTGACTACGTACTCCGTACCTACATAATTTAAATCTCAATAAGTAAACTAATATAATAGAAATAAGAGTTTACTTTTTTTTGAATTGTTATATAAAATAAAATATTATTATTATTATTATATTATTTATAATAATATTAAAACTTTCAACTTTATAATTGATATTGTAAGGTTGTGCCAGTTAAGGTAGGTACACTACAATTAGTAATTACACAGTTTAGGTTCACTTAAATTACATTGCAAATCTGCATACAATTATTGGATATATTTATATGTTTATATATTTATACATTATACATATGAATTGAATGCAGTAATTTAGCCATAGTGGCAAGTAGGTAAATAATAATTAATAAGTAAGACTAGATAAGTTTAATTGTGTCATAACAATTTTTTAGTTGAAATTATACTTTAATGGAGCTAAAAAGAGTCAAAGCTAGTGGTGTATGCAATGGTAAGGAGGCAAAAAAAAAGAAGGAAAAACCTAATGAAGTTATAAGAAAAACAAACGAAATAAATACCATGTTTAAACTTAAAAGAGAAGAGCATAGTGAGAAAGTAGAAACCATAGTTTGGAATTCAAAGTAAACACATATTTAGTGATTTGTGATTCTGTAATAGAAGAATTAACAAGTCGAAAGCTTACGATAATGTCATAACAAAGAATAGTTTTTTTTTAAGACTCACAAAGATAAAATCATCAGAAGTACGTGTTTTAGCTGAACATTTGTACTCAATGTATACAAAAGATTTGGATATAACATTTATTAACGAATGTGTTCATTTTCAAAGTTATATTCAAAGTATGAAAAATTCTCCATCAACTATAATTGATATGAGTTCTATGTTAAAAATAGAAGGATCAGAAGACATTTACCCGTGTGTTAGTATTGCTTTGCTTTACACATGTTTTTATGTACTCCCTTCCCGGTTCAAACTGTACCGCTGAACGGTCATTTTCAACTTTACGCTGAATAAAAACTACCTAAGGTCAACAATTTCGAAAGAGAGATTAAACTCACATGCAATATTAAATATTGAATCAGAAATAACAAAACAAATTAAATATGAAGATATTATAGATCATTTTGCTGATATTCAATCAAGAAAAAAATTGTAAAATAAACAATAAATATTATTATATTACTATATTATAGTACATATTATTAATTGTATATCATTTTTTATTATTTGAATCATGGAAGATTCTAGGTAGATAGTACCTAAGACCTAAGTTATAAACTAGTTACTTATGTTTTTTTTGTATAGTTTACCTACTATTAAAAATCTAATATTGGAATGCATAGGTACCTAGTTAAAATTGCTAAAAATTAACTGCAAATTAAATTTCAATGAGAAAGGGAAACATAAAAAATGAATTAATGTTATGCCCCCCCCAAAAAAAAAAATAAAATTTAGCCACCACTTCTATGGTATTATTGGTATTAAAAAAAATGTGTTGGAAAGGGGCGCCATAAATATTGTGCCCGGGGGCGAAAAATCCCTAAATACGGCCCTGGACTTAGTGGTATATTAATAGTTAATACAATGTGTTAGAAGATAGAAGTTAAAAGAAATAGCAAGATAGTGATTGAAATACTTTTCTAATACTGAAAGTAATTTTGGAATAGGCAAATATAAAAAACCAAATTCGAGCGTAGCGAGAAACAAAAAATTTGGTGGGTGGCCTGGATAAATTTTAAACTCCCGGCCTGGATTTGGTTCCCACTCCGCCCCTGAGTATAACTG